ACGCAGCATTGCGCATAGATGATAATGACAAGCAAACACATAAGATTAAAAATCAGTATGTGGGGTTCCTCGGTAGCGTAATTTAGCATTCTCGCCTTTGCGGCCCACGCAGCTTCGCAAATCGCCCCAGCACAACCCAAGAAGCCCCCAATAGGGCCCCGAGACGGCCCAACAGAACCCCAAGACGGCCCAAAGAGGCCCCCAAGACGGTCCAAGAGGCCCCTATGACGGCCCAAGAGGACCCCAAGACGGCCCCAACGCGGCCGCGAGAGGCCCCCAAGACGGTTTCCGAAGGAGCGAAACGGCGCAAAAGCGCCCCAAAACCGCCAAAGACGCCCCCAAGAGGCCCCAAGAGGCCCCCAAGAGGCCCCCAAGGGGCCCCAAAAAGCCCCCAAGAGGCCTCCAAGATGTCTTCAAGAAGCCTCCCAACGGCCCCAAAGAAGCCCCCCAAAGGCCACACAGCGACTGGAGTGTAATGTTATTTTCCCCCCTCTGGGCGAACTGCGGCGCAGCGCCAGCCAGGTGGAAGTTGGTCGCAGCGGCGCCCATGATTAGAGCGGGCGCTGGAAGGAAATATGGGGAGGGAGTATGAAAAGGAGGGAGGGGGTGGAGGCCCCAAAGAAGTCCCCAAGAGGCCCAAGGAAGCTCCCAGGAGGCCTCCAGGAGGCCCCCAAGAGGCTCCCAAGAGGCTCCGCGACGACGTGACTGTACGTGCTCCGGACGTGCACCCCGCGAAGCGAGAGGAATCAACGTCTAAGGACATCTGCATGCCCTTGGTGAAGGCCACACTTGACTCAGGGGTCGGGGTTGAGCAGAGGAGGAGGAGGAGGAGGAGGAGGAGGAGGAGGTGGAGGACGGTGGGGGTAACCTCAATTGTGCCTATTATGTCAGGGCATCCTGGCTAAGCTACCTTGTAAGCCTCTCCTTGTTCTACTGTGTAGCGTCAGTCGTCTCAACTTTCGGGACTCTGCTGCACCATGATAGTGTGAGTTGTACTTGTTCATCTTAGTGGCTTCTTGCTTGCTTCCTCATAAGAGTCAAGTTGCACGACGCTACGAGCCCCGCTCAAAGTCTGGCGAACGGACAGGCAGCAGCCCCAGCAGGCGACGCATCCTTGCCCCGGTCTTCCTTCATCCCTCCTTTCCCCGGTCCTTCTTCATCCTTCCTCCTCATCATCCTCCTGCGCATCCTTCTCCTTCTCCTCTCACATGCATCAGCATCAACATCATGATCAGCATCGTAGACTAATAAAATGGAAATTAAACAGTAGTAATTACTCATAGTTCAGAATAATGTCAATACTAAATGTACTAATAATCATCATCATTATCATCTGCAGCAGCACCAGCATCAGCAGCATCATCATCCACACCCTCCTCCTGGTCCTCATCAGCATCATCATGCTCATTAGCAGCAGCACCATCACCATCAGCAGCATCATCATCCTCATCATCATCACCACCACCACCACCATCATCATCACCACCACCACCACCATCATCATCATCATCATCATCCCCACTATCAGTATCATCATCATCATCAACATCATCAGCATCATGACGATCAGCATCATCAGCATGATAAGCATACTCCTGATCACCGTCATCATCATCATCATCATCATCATCGTCATCGTCATCGTCATCGTCATCATTAGCATCATCAGCAGCATCATCGACATCATCATCACCATCATCATCAGCAGCATCAGCAGCATCATCATCATCATGAGCGTCCTCCTCATCCTCCTCATCATCGTGATCATCATCAGCGTGAGCAGCAGCATCATCCTCACCAGTATCATCAGCCTCAGCATCAGCAGCAGCATAACCATTATGAGCATCATCATCATCACCACCATCCTCGTCATCACCATCACCACCACCATGATCACCCTCATCATCCGTATCAGAATCATCAGCATTGCCGTCGTCGCCGTCGTCGTCCGACATCATCGGCACCAGCAGCACCATCAGCATCAGCATCAGCATAACCACCATCACCATCATCGGCATCATAAAGGTCATCAGCATCGGCAGCATCATCATCATCATCATCATCATCATCAGCATCATCATCATCATCATCATCAGCAGCAGCAGCATCAGCATCATCATCATCATCAGCATCAGCATCATCATCATCATCATCCTCAGCAGCATCATCATCATCAGCAGCCTCATCAGCAGCCTCCTCAGCAGCCTCATCATCGGTAGCACCAGCATCATCATCATCAGCATCATCATCAGCATCATCATCATCATCATCATCATCGTCAGTATCATCATCCTCAGCATCCTCATCATCCTCATCAGCAGCCTCATCATCAGTAGCACCAGCATCATAATCATCGTCGTAGTCTTCGTCATGGTTACGTTCACCGTCAGCAGATCAAAATCAGACTCCGCATCAGTATCAAGCTCATCGTTGTCGTTAGAAGCAGCAGCATCACCATAAACAGCGGAGTAGCATCGACGTTGGCAGCATAATCGACATCATCGCCCTCGTCAGCATCATCAGCATCATCATCAGCATCGTCGTCGTCGTCGTCAGCATCATCAGCACCAGCGGCAGCATCATCGTTGTCATTATCAGCGTCGTCAACATCATCATCACCATCGTTATCGGCGACCCAATGGTCCGCATTATCACCCGCAGCAGCACCACCGCCATCGCTATCGTCATCAGCATCGTCAGCGTCATCGTCGGCAGCATCGTAGTCGTCGTCGTCGTTGTCACCGCCACAGCCATCACCAATATCATCAGCATCGCCATGAGCAGCATCATCGTCGGCCTCGTCGCCCTCGTCAGCATCATGCTCATCGGCATATTCATTATCCTCCTCACCCTACTCATCATCATCGTCATTACGATCATGATCAGAATCGTGGTCATAGTCATGATCATGGTCAACATCATCAGCGTGCTTACGATCACCAATATCATCACACTTGCCAGCATCAGTACAAACAGCATCATCATCACTATCAGCATCAGCATCATCATCATCATCAGCAGCAGCATCATCAGCATCATCAGCATCATCAGCAGCAGCATCAGCAGCAGCAGCCTCTTCCTGATCCTCACCCCATCCCCTCCTCCCTCCCTCCCTCCCTCCTCCCTCCCTGCCTCCCCCGGACTATCTCCCGCCCTCCCCCCCCCCTCTCACACATCCCTCCTCATTCTCTCCCTCCCTCAGGCCCCTCCTCCCTCCTCTTTCTCCTCCCCCTCATCCGTCCTTCCCTCTCTCCCTCCCTCCCACTCCCTACCCCTTCCTCTTCCCCCTCCCCCCTCCTCCGACGCCCAAATCACTCCGCCGCACGGGCCTCCAAGGATTTCGATCCCAAGGCCAGCTGCTCATCCTGGGCTGTATGGGACACAACCTCCAGGCCAGACGCCGAAACATCGAAAAAGCTGCCATCCAAATATGTTCGCGACGCATGGCTCTGAGGACCCCTGAAAACAGTCTGGTCCGTCCAGTGTATACATTGACTGTCCTGAGGCTGCCAGACGGCCTCCAAAGGCTTCCGAACAAAGAGCCGCCCCGACTTGATGCAACGCCCAGATCTGCCTCAGGGCTCCTCCCGCCTCATCTCCTCCTCCTCCTCCTCCTCCTCCATCATCATCATCATCATCATCATCATCATCATCATCATCATCATCATCAATCATCATCATCATCATCATCATCATCAGATTCATCATCATCATCATCATCATCATCATCATCATCATCATCATCATCATCACATCATCATCATCATCATCATCATCATCATCATCATCATCATCATCATCATCATCATCAGCATCATCATCATCATCATCATCATCATCATCATCATCATCATCATCATCATCATCAGCATCATCATCATCATCATCATCATCATCATCATCATCATCATCATCATCATCATCATTATCAGCATCATCACCATCATCATCATCATCATCATGGTCAGCATCATCCTCATCAGCAGCAGCATCATCATCATCATCATCATCATCATCGTCGTCGTCGTCGTCGTCTTCGTCGTCGTCATCACCATCAGCATCATCATCAGCATCATCAGCATCATCATCGTCATCTTCATCAGCAGCAACATCATCTGCATCATCATCAGCATCACCATCATCATCATCATTAGCACCATCATTATCAGCATCGTCAGCATCAGCATCATAAGCAGCATCATCAGCACCATCATCATCATCACCATCAGCATCACCATCAGCATCACCATCAGCATCACCATCATCATCATCATCATCATCATCATCATCATCATCATCGTCATCATCATCATCGTCGTCGTCATTATCATCACCATCACCACCACCACCGCCACCACCATCATCATCATCAGCAGCAGCATCATCATCATCATCATCATCATCATCCTGCCCCTTCCTCCTCCTCCTCCTCCTCCTCCTCCTCCTCCTCCTCCCCTCCTCCTCCACCTCCTCCTCCTCCTCCTCCTCCTCCTCCTCCTCCTCCTCCTCCTCCTCCTCCTCCTCCTCCTCCTCCTCCTCCTCCTCCTCCTCCTCCTCCTCCTCCTCCTCCTCCTCCTCCTCCTCCTCCTCCTCCTCCTCCTCCTCCTCCTCCTCCTCCTCCTCCTCCTCCTCCTCCTCCTCCTCCTCCTCCTCCTCCTCCTCCTCCTCCTCCTCCTCCTCCTCCTCCTCCTCCTGTCCTCCTCCTCCTCCTCCTCCTCCTCCTCCTCCTCCTCCTCCTCCTCCTCCTCCTCCTCCTCCCTCTCCTACCTATGGCAGAGGGGACGGAAAATCGGCCCATCACATGTGCCTGAGAGGATGTGCAGGCCCGCCCGATGAGCCCCCGAGGAGGGAGGACGACGAGGGGGAGGAGGAGGAGACCAGGAGGAGGAGACCAGGAGGAGGAGACCAGGAGGAGGAGGAGGAGGAGGAGACCAGGAGGAGGAGGAGGAGGAGGAGGAGGAGGAGGAGGAGGATGTGCAGGGGGCGCGGTCAGCCCTGGCCTGCTTGCCCGCCCGGTGCTTGCGCTGGAAGCCCGGCGCAGGGGTGTCCGCGGCGGTGGCCTGCCGGCGGCGCCGCGGCGCGACCGCCCCGCGGGCGCCGCCCTGCTCCGTCCTCCCTCCTCCTCCTGTCCTCCTCCCTCCTCCCTCCCTCCCTCCTCCCTCCCTCCTCCTGTCTTCCCTCCCTCTTCCTCCATGCTCCTCCCTCCTCCTGCCTCCTCCATCCGTCCTCCGTCCTCCTCACTCCTCCCTACTCCCTCCTCCTCCTCCCTCCTCCTCCTCAACCTCCTCCTCCTCCTCCTCCTCCTCCTCCACCTCCTGCTCGTCGTCGTCCTCCTCCTCCTCCTCATCCTCCTCCTCCTGCTCCTCCTGCTCCCCCTCACTCATCCCTACTCCCTCTTCCTGCTCCTCCCCCTCCTCTTCCTCCTCCTCCGATCAAGCCTACTTGTGACGTCAATGAGGACATGGACGATGATGACGGAGAGCTGCAATTTGAGGTTCACCGAGGGACGCCAGATTTCTCTTGGGCAGAAGTTTCAGCGAGGGCATTGGACAAGGAACCCTTGGATAAGGAATCCAAGGTCTGGAAGCCAGTGGAACACCAATAAATGCCTGGCAATGGATATCACCACCGCTCTCATCGGATAAGGAATCCTCCAGGATCTCAGTGGACAGAAACGCGCACACTTCTAAGAAGCATGGGATTTGAACAACACTTTCTTGAAACCTCCCATCACCTCCTCCGAGGAAAATTGGAAGTATACCCCCGAAGTGGCGACACGCCGGCGTCCACCCGGCTAGCGTGGACATTAGAAGTTATACAAATAGCCAAGATAACTGTACAACCACATCGGGTAACAAAGATGCGCGATAAAGAACTCTCGTGGTGAAACGCGGTGGCAGCTGAGCCAAGACCTTAGGCTCAGCAGGTCGGAGGAGGAGGAGGAGGGAGGAGGAGGGGGAGGGGGAAAACAGCAAAAAATCCGCGGGCGACGGCGGGAACGCCGCGCGCTGGACAGCCTGCAGGATTTCTCGCGCGGGCGCGCGGCCTCAGAGCTGCTGGGCGAGGGCAGGGGGAGAGGAGGAGGGGGAGGGAACAACAGCGCGACGCTGTCTCTGCGGGCAAGCGAAGAGCCTCGAGAAAAAACGCCAAGGCAAGGCGAATCGCTCACAATCTAGCTACCTATATAGCTAAAGAGCCTCGACTCCAGTGAGCCGGAGGAGGAGGAGGGGGAGGAAGGAAGGAAGGAAGGGCAGAGCGGCGGACGGGGGCAGACGGGGGCGGTCGTCGTGTCGTCGTGCGTCAGGCCCCCTCCGCTGGAAGCGCCGCCGGCGCCGCCGCCGCAGCAGCAGCGGCCGCCACGGGGGCTGCCGCGGCTGTCGCCACCGCCGCCTCCGCCATGCCAGCAGCAGCAGCAGCCGCGCCAGAGGTAGCGCCAGGCTCTCGTGGGACGGCCCCTGGGTGCCCGCGCCGCTCCGCCACGGCCTGGTCCGAGGGTTCTAAGTCGGCCGCATCATCCTCGTCCAGGGCCAACGGCGTGCACGCTCGCACCATACGAGCGGCGCGACGCCAGACGCTGACGGCGATCCGGGTTTGCACGTGGCGCAGCTCCACGTGCGCCTCCGTGCCTCGCCGCCGCGCGTGCGCGCGGGCGATCGACTGCAGCACCCGCAGGAACTCGTCGTGGAAACGACCGAAAGCGCTCACAGCCAGAACCCGGTACTCCACTCCGATGTCCTCAAGCTCGCTCCGGAAGGAGTCGGCTCGGCGCTGCTTCCGGCGCACCATCGTCTCCACGCAGTCGTCGCCCGCTCCTGCCGCCGTAGGCGCGATGATTCCCACGTCCAATGCCGCCAAGCGCCCGGACGGATCCGGGACGCCAGTCAAAACGTCCGCAGGGCGGAGCATTGGGCGTGAGCTCACGAGGCCTACCGGCTCAAGCTCTGTGCTGCCATCAACAGCACTGGCGAATGCGCACACGTCGTCACGGACCGCATTGTGTCCCGCATTGCAGGGGCCTTTGGCGCAAAGCAGCCCGTGGCTGCCAGACGGGCCAATGATGCATTCGCCGCAATTTGCGCACACCACCTCCTCGTCGGGCCCCCCCGCCCCGAGGCGAATGCGGACGGCGAGGGCGAACTCGTCGCTGGTCATAATCCGCCCCTTGTGCGGGGATATGGCCCACAGCCAATCGTGGCATTGGTTCGGGTGGCAGAGCTCCTGGAGGCGGTGCACTGCGTCGATGTTCCCACTCGCTCGCGCTCGGGAGAGGAGCCCAGTGGCCACTGTGCGGTCCGCCTCCCTGGTGAGATCGCGCTGGAGGCGCAGCGCGCCGCGGCCCCGAGGGGCGGCCGGGTGCTCGGGATCCTCTGCGCCGGCCTCATCCACGGCCGCTGCGCCTGGCCTGTGGCTGGCCGCGCGCCCGCCAGCTCCTGGCTCGCCCTCCTCCTCCTCACCAGCGCACCAGTTCCTCCAGCGGCGCTCAGCCAGCGCTGCTGCCTCCTCGAGGTGGGCGCGCACGGCGTCGTGGACGCCAGCAGGGAGGACGTCCCGCCACCTCTGCGCCGCCGCGTGCGTGCGCCTGTCGCACTCCCGCATGCACCTGGCGGCGGACCCCAAGCCCTCCTCCTCCACGTGAGCACACATGGCTGCGACGAGCGGCCGTGAGGCGACCCGGCTGGCAATGAAAGCGGGCAGCGCGCACTCGGACGCCTCCCGGAGCCCGAGGCCCCCGGCATCCACAGAAAGAGTGGCCTGAATCCAGCCCTCGTCCAAGAGTTTACCGTGAAGTGCGTCCTCTGTACCGTGCCTGAGCGAAGCGTCGAAGGCGGCCAGGGCATCGCCGTCGACCATATCCCCGCTGCACCGGAGAATGTAGCCGACCTTAGAGACGTCGAAGCAGCGGCGGTGGAGCACGAGCTCGCACTGGGATTGCTCCAGGCCCCCAATCCCCGCCCTTTGAACAGCCACCTTATTGCATGCGCGCCGGAAATGTTGGTTCACCTCTTCGCTGCTTCCGACCATGGCACCCAGAACCTTGACGCCGCGCTGGCTGTCGGGGACCTTGCACGTTTGGGCGATGTATCCCTGCTCCCAACCATTCAGCTGATCCCGGCGGTCTGGGTGGCACAGAAGTCGCGCGACGCTTTTGCAGTTGGGCCCAGTATCCCTGCTGCACCCAATGCTAGCGATCGCTTGGTCAATGCGCCGCAGCCACCTCTCTGCGACCTCGACGCGGACGAAAGCCTGCCCATCATCGATGAACCATTCATCCACGGCGCCGATGCGCCCGCCCGCCTGCCCTTGGAGTTCGTCGCGGGCTGCACCTACTGCGTCGCCGAGTGTGAGAGCAGAGGCGGCGGGTCCGAATACGTCCCCTTGGCCAGACCCTCTGTCGGTGTGTGCCACGCCGCCCTGGGGGAGGTCCATGAGCTCGTCGTCTGCGTGGACCCACTGCGTCCAGTGGAGGGCCTCGGGGAAGTGGCGACGCAGCGCTTCCCGAATACGCTCCCGCAGGATGGTGCCGAACATGTTCGCCAAATCTAAGTCGAACGCCACAACTGGGGGAATATGCCCCGCCACGGCTTCCGCCTCCACCAAGGACCTCCAATGCACGAGAGCTTCGCAGCCGCCAGGCATTTCGACGCCCCATTGCCGAGAAGCCGCGAAAGCAGCTCGGAGTTTCGGAGCCGCTCTCTTCTGGACCTTCTTGGCCATTGCTGCTCGCAGGAACTCGCCGACTCGAACTGGCCTAGGTTTGTCGGATCCCTTCTTCTTCAGGAAGACCAAGCGAGTGCGCGTAAGCCACCGCGCCTCAGTCCCAAGCCTGCCGTCGCGCGAGGCATCTTGGAACCTCAGCATCGCGCGGGCCAGCCTGTTGGCAAGCGGGCGTTGCTTTATTCCCAGACACTCCTTGGCGTGCTCAGCCCTGGTCCCAGTCGGCCCCGGCGCCGTCAGACAAGCAAACCTGACGCCTTTCAAGGGGTGGTCGTCCCGCAGCGGGTCCTGGGATGCAGCGTCGTTCGGGTCGCTTGGCAGCACGGGGCCCCCCGGCCCCGGCGGCGCTGCGACGCCGTCGGCGGGTGCAGCCGCCGGCTGGGGCACCCAGCGAGCGGCAGCTGGCTGGGGAGCTTGCGGCGCAAGCTCGGCCGCCCATCTGGCCTCGTCTGCTGGCGTGAGTTTGGCGGTCTCCCCAGTGAGCGTGAGGACAGCTCTTCGGTACGCCCCCTCGGCGCACAAGCGTTTGCCGCGGCGCCGCTTGGCAGCCGTCGCGCGTGCCTCGGCTCCAGGTCCGCGTCGGTTCACAGGCCGTCGTCGAAGGATGGCCTGAGCCTCGGCGCGGCAGAGCAGTTCCTCATAGCATCCACGCTCCCAAAGGGCGGCCCGGGCGGCCAGCTCTGTCGGCACGTGCGTGCCAGCGGGGGGGTCAAGCAAAAGTAGCCGTGACCGAGCCTCTTCCAAAGCCGTCCAGCCTGGTAACCCCGCGGCGGCGCCTTCGAGAGTGGCTGCCCAGATGCGGGCGTGGCGGGCGCGCAAGGCGACTGGGATGTGTGTCTGCGTGGTGCCCCTGAGGGTCCTGACGCGGTCAGCGAAATCAACTCCCAGCACCACGTCCTCGGGGTCTCTCCGAAGGTTGCCTTGCGAGGCTGGTTCTTGGGACGGCGGCTGCGCTGGGACGAGGGCCCCGCCTCGAGGGCCTGGAATGATATCGCCAACCTGCATCGGCCGTAACGGCGTCGAGTGTCTGCACCTGTTGCACGTCGTCATGCCGATTCGCCGTATGCCTCCGCATGCGGGGTCCGAGCACACCGCTCTGTCAAGAGCGCGGAGCACAGCAACCGCACCGTCATCAAGCGCCTCGCCCGCCTGGGCACACTCCTTAACGCACGCCTCCACCGTATGAGCGGTGAAACTGAGCTCCATCGTGACAGGCTGGAACGCATCCGTGCCAAATTCTGTCAGGGTGGCGACGCAGAACCGGTTCCCATGTTATCCACAGCAGCAGAAGATTCTGCGAAGTGTTCAGGTTGGGCTGCTGGGCCCGAATATCGCACCGCGACCTCGGGAGGCTCCCTCTCCACGCGTGCGGCCCGGCAGGCAGCCTCGTCTCGGAGGCGACGATAGGGGCGAGTGGCACGCATTCGCCCGGGAGCCTTGCCCAGGGCATGGAGCTGTGGGCACTACGAAATCACGAGCCCATCGTGCGTTGCAGCTTCGTGTATACGATGCGCAGATAGCCGTAGGCAAACGTGAGCAGGCAGTACGTCGTGCTTGGCGTCAGATGTACGACATTGTGTCAGGGCAAGGACGGGAAGGTAAGCTGCGTGCGCACAGATGTCATGACGTCTGTGTCGACATAGTGTATTTCTTGGAAAGTATATGCACATACCCAAGTCAGCATCATGCTTACAGGCTGCGTTTCGTGGGCGACTTCTTAGGACGACTGGCCGAGAAGGAGGAGCAACGACTCGCACAGTCGCGGTCCAAGGCGTCTGCTCCTTGGCTTAATCAGAGTATTGGGTCTCAGCCGCGTGCAGTACAAAGGTGCTCCAAACTTACAGGGTGGAATGGTTCGCAGGTTGACACCTCCATCGAGTTCAGCAGGTGACACTGTTGAAGGTCAGCGAGAATCCTGGGCCGACTTTTGGGAAGGCCAGGATAAAGCTCACAGTGATCATGGAGACACCGAGGGGGACGAGCCTTTTGAAAGAAATGCAACATCTGCGCACCCACGGACCTAGTCTGCCGCCACGAAGCATCTCAGAGCTGCGCCTGGCAGCTCAGCAATTTCCACGTCGCACAGCCGTCGGAGCAGATCGTTTCAGGCCGCGCCACTGGGCGCTCACATCCAACGCAGCCTTGTCGGTGCTCGGCTACTTTCTGTATGTGTGCCGAATTGTTGCTTAGTGGCCTTATCTACCAAGCCGTGGTCATATAGTACTGCTTGCCAAACCTGCTGGGGGCTATAAATCGATTGCCCTGCATATATTTCTCTCCTTATCTCGCTCTCTCTCTTTCTCTCTTTCTCTTTAGATCTCCATACATGTACATATATACATGTATTGTGCATGGGCGAACGGTCGGGACTCCTGGGTACGCAGTTCGGCTTCGAAAGTGTGTCGGTCCTACATCGCCTTGGGAATACAGAAGTCAACCACTGACGTGGCTGCTATGGTCCTCGTGCAAGCAGAGGGGGGAGGCTTCGAAGGCACTAACTCCCCAGCTTCTATTCACGCCATAGTGGGCGTTGAAAAGTGTTTCGACATAGTGTCTTGGGTTAAGTTGCTTTGAGCTGCAGGTGTGTTTGGGTTTCCTGGGCAACTCATGACTCTCGCCACTCGTATGCACGCGGGGGTACGGCTGCGTTCCTGGGATAACTGTTTCTCGGCCGAAACGTGGGCAACGCGCGGTGCACTTCCTGGACGTGCCTTCGCCACGTTCGCTTTACTGTGTGTCATGTTCGGTCCCGTCGACGCCCTCTACAAGCACACCGCACACATAGCAAGTACGATTGTCCTGTATGCAGACGATATCCCAATATCGATAACAGGCACAGTTGCTAGTGTAGTTACGTGGGCGACTAACGTTCTTAGACTTGCGGTCTATACACATATATCTACACACTAGTTGAGATCATATTACCAGCTAGACGTAAGGTGAACATTGTTCAGCAACTCTCCAAAACTAGAACGACGTGTGTGCCAAGTTCGGGGCCCTGGGCTACGTCCATTGCAGCGCACTGGAAGTCTTGGGAATTGAAGTGAGCTCAGGCAGGGCCCTCACGTTTGCCTAACTTCGGGCTCGCCGTCTCACAGGACCCCCAGGCTCAGAATGATGATGCGAGCTGGCCAAATCGTGTGCAAGTTCGTTAAGCAAGCGCTGCCATCAGCAACGAATCACGGTAAGTATAGGCGTTCACGGAGCCCCACCTCAGCTCGTATCCCAGATGCGGGCTGATCACTGCAGGCTTGGCACTCGGCTGGCGCTTGCACCAGCTCATGGATCACGGCTTGCCTGCAGGTTAGCATGTACTCCGACCCCCAAATGAGGCCTGGGCGGCGCCGCTTTTCCAGTGGGCGCCGTTGTGGCGAAACAACAGTGTGCCTGGAGGATGCTTGGACCTCGCCTGGAAACGCCAGATTAAGAAGTGTATAGCAATGACAAGCCTTTCAAGTTCGTCGCTGGGCCTGCGGAGGGCAATGCTATTTGTTCTCAAGAATCTCCACTGGACCCCATCATCGGCATTCCTTTGGCGCACCGACCCGAGTAACGTGTTGGACCCCAGAAAAGAAGCCCAATCATCCGCCAAAACCCTTGACCGGGAAGCGGCTGTGCTTAGGCTATGGGAACAGTGGGCCTGGGGCATGCCAGCGGCTACTTTGGGGACCCCCGAACCAATATGGACTACAGACCCGCAGACAGGGGATAGATTGGCCCCCCTTCCCCAAGGGGGGGGGTGTGGGGCAGGTGGGGGCGAGTGGGGTATACTTGTCACGCCACCAGTCTCGAACCGCCCTCCCGATCTGGTCTCAGAGCTCCCTGGCCCGGCCCCAGAGGGGGGGAGGGGGGCCAGGCCCAGCCCAGACTGGGTAGTCGAAGCCAATCTGGCGCCAATCTGGCAGGCCCAATCTGGCAAACGGGGGCAATCTGGCGAGGGAGCCAACGCGAATCCAGTCTGGCAAATAACCCAAATCCTCCACTTTGGCCAGGCCAGATTGGCCCTTGGGGCCCCGTCCAATCTGCCAGTCTGGCCTTCGACCACCCAGCCAGACGCCCAACGCTCGGCGCTGAGCCCTTCTCCCCGCGCCCACTCCCAGACGCGAGAGGGCGCGCCGGAGGCGCCGCCCCGAGAGGGGGCAGGGAGAGGGACCGCCGATCCGAGAAGTCTGCGCGGAGCCCCAGACGTGAGAGAGTACTCCAAATCTCATAATAGTGGGGGGGGGGGGGGTCAAAAAAGTGTTTGACGGCCGGTCTGGGACCCCCCCCCCCAAGACAAGCAACAAGAGGTCCAAAATCGAGACCCCCCCACAAATGTGTTTGACGAAGCCCGTGAGACCCCCCCCAGAAGCAGACCCCCCCCCATTTTTATGAGATCCGGAGTAACTTCTCGGCTTGCGCAAAGGACTCGGCGATCTCTCTCGCGGCATGGCTTGCGCCGGCCGCCGGTGCGGCAGGCCGCAGGGCGCTCGCGCGCCACCTTGCCCGTGGGCAGCTGTCGCGAAGATGCAGCTGTTGCGTGGCCCGCGGAGTTTCGGATGTGTCATAAGCTTTACGCAGCTCTATACAGCTGTTCAAGTTGTTCAAGCACCTCCTCCAAACCAATCATCTTGCGCAGACACTCTGCCCGCCCCGCGTCGCACCGCCGCTGGGCCAGCAGGGCGCAAGACAGAATGGGGCGAGAGGATGGGGACCTGAAGAACAGTCAGGCAAGCGCCGGGCCCCAAGGAAGTTGCTTGAGTGCCACCGGAACCGCCTCAGCACTGACCTGACCAATCAGCCGTGGAACTGCTGCATCAGGGCCGCAATGAGTCAGGTCAGAGCCCAGCCAAGGCCTTACAGGCATCACATGAAGGGACTCGGCCGACGCAGACGCTGACCAGGCCCCTACCAGGGGAACAAGCAATGACAGAAACATGAGAACTCGAAGCTCCGCGCGGATTTATTAGATCGGCGCTGGACCCCCCTCCCTGGCGCGCTCCGCGCGCCAGGGGCAGCGCCAAGGCGCCGCCAGAGGGGATCCGGTGCCGATCCAAGAGATCCGCGCGGAGCTCCGAAAGTGTATGCCCATGCAGGTGTTCCTTCTTCCATGCTTCGGCGGCGAGCCCCGGGGGAAGCGAGAAGGAGAAGCCCTTCTCAAAAGGCCCGAAAGTGCCCCGACCTTCTGACAAGTTTTCTAAGCCTCCCCCGAAGACGCAGAAGCCTTCTCAGAAGGCTGGAGGGCTCCTGCGAGGCCCCAGCGCCTTCTGAGAAGGCCTTCTCCTTCTCACTTCCCCCCCTCGCTCGCTGCCGAATGTTTGGTCCCGACGAGGCACAGGACAGCGACAGCAGCGGCGGGGGCGGCGGGGGCGGCGGAGGCGGCGGCGGGGAGCCAGCTCGGGGAGCCCGGCCTGCCGGAACTCGAGCATGCCGCGCTGCGCCCGCCAGAGGCCCGGTCCCGGAGGGGCGTCGTCCTGGGCCACCGCCGGCGAAAGGACGGCCTACAACGACGACGACGACGACGACGACGAAGACGACGGCAACGACAAAGACGACGACGAAGGCGACGACGAAAGAAGACGAAGAACGACGACAGCGGGGAGGACAGCGAAGGCGACACAAGACTACGACGACGACGATGACGACGACGACGATAGCGGCGGCGAAGACGACCAATGACGGCGACGACGACAAAAGAAGTCGACCAAAAAAACGATTGGAGATGAGCACAAAAGACGACTGATGACGACGACGATGGCGAGGAAGATGATGACGACGGCGCCGACGATCACGACGGCCACGATAAAAGGCAGCAGCGCTGGGCCGAAGCCGACGACCACGACCACGATGTCGTGCTCGTCGGCGTCATGGTCGCATCCCGCGCCGTGGTCGGCGCCGGGAGGTGTCGTCGGCGCCGTTGGGGAATCCAAAAGGTACCAATACCGCTACCAGGGTGCGTTCTGACCAGGATCTCAAGACGAATCCTGCGGCGGCGACGCAGGCCTCCCAGGAGGCCGAAAGAGGGGAAGACGAGGAAGGGAAGCGGCATCGGCACCTTCTCCTCCTCCGAGGGTGTCTGTCGGCGCCGAGGTCGTTGGGGGGCCACATGCGAACCCTACCCCTGCCACCCACGATTTCTGAGGGGGAGGGTGGGGTTCCCTTCGCTCGAGAGCTCCCGAGCGAAATGAACCCCACCCTCCCCCTCAGAAATCGTGGGGGGCAGGGGTAGGCCCCCTAGTCGTCGTCGTGGCCGCGGCCCCACTGCGGGGAAGGAGGACTCGCGCCGCCTCCCTGCGGGCCGCTGTG